TAAATGCATCATGTACTTATGTATGTGGAAACGGTTATCAAAGGATACTACAAAAATGGCAAAATGAGGACAGTTGGCATTTAAGAAGACGTTACGTATTTTCGATTCCCGTGTTTGAGATAACTCAATGTAGTGCTATCTCTTTTGGCCTTTGACGGCACGCAGTAGTTAAACAAAGACAATCAAATGTTTATGTTTTCAGCGTCTAAATGCATCATGTACATAACGTCTGATTTATATATGTCAATATAACATGTCCTTTGGTTTCCATAGTCCAATCCTCTAATCCTTAGAGGATGGAAAAAAATAAAAAATAAATACATAATATAGTATTATGTATTTACCCTTTATAAATATTTTATTTAAATTTTATACGTTAAATTCCTATTCCTAATCATTTGTTTTTGTACTATTCTGAAGCTTTCTTACTTTAAGAAAAGACAATTTGTTTCATTATTTATTTTGCTTTATAGTAAACAGTCATTATTAAGTGGGCAACATTTTAAGTAACATGTGAAAAAATAAATTTGAAGAAGCACTTTTACGAAGCAAAATTGAAACTAATATACCAGGTAAAACACATGTTTGTAATTTTTTTAGTGACAGTAAATATCACCTAAAGGAAAGTGACGTAGAAGATCATTGTATATGGGGTACTTGCCTAGATGATACTTACTTGTTTATATATCAATTTGAAAGCTTAAAATTATACTCTTTACTAATAAAAGTGGATGTATAGAAAATATTTCATGTAATTCCTTTACAGTTTACAATGACATGGGTGCAATAGAGAAATAACAACACAAGGTCAAATTCAACTCAACTCAGTATTGATACCTATGCTAGAATCGAACAAATATCCTTTGGGGTATCAAATGTTATGTCTCATATATGTGGTACATGTAGTATTTATTTTACTGCATGTTACAAAGAAAATAAGGAAAAATATGCTAATAACTTCGGTAATAATAAAACGCCTATTGAGATACAAATGTGGAGCAGTTTCCTACAAATGGTTTTAGTAGATAACTCAATGTTGTAAACACTTTTTCATATGCAAAGTAAAATGATTTGTTCTAAACATTTAAAAAAGCAAGTTTATTGATTTTCCGTATACTATTACTTCTAACAAGAATTAGTCATATTCAATATGGTTTTCCATAGGTCAAATCCCAAGGTTATAGTAATTCTTTGTGCTCTTGTGCAGTATATATCTTATTTTAATTGTATTATTTCTTGAAAACTTCTTATTATCTTGATATCGAAATGGATTGCAGGGAAAATATATGAAGAAGTTGAGGCTCTGCTTGATAACCACTCTTAAGTACACGTACACACATACACACACACGCACGCACGCACGCACACACGCACGCACGCACGCACGCACGCACGCACGCACGCACGCACGCACGCAC